TCATTAAGAAAGATCGACGTTTCGGGTCCATCATGGAACCATTCTCAAAATCAAGATCAATTTACTTGATCTTGAGAATGGTTCCATGATGGACCCCCCGAAACGTCGATCTTTCTTGTCATTAAATTTTGTTTTGAAATTATATAGTAAGCGTCTCTTAATTCGTACATTATAGTGTTACACAAATTAATAATTGTTGATTCTTATTGTGCTCAGAAAAGGATTCATTATATTAAATATATCTAATTAACTTCTTGAATCTCAATTTATACTAGTGACAGATCGAATTGAGCATTTGTAAACAAAATATATACAATGTATATGACTTCAAAACATGAGTTTATTACACATTATTAAATAATAAATTAATCAACACAACTATAAACTTTACATTATGCCTACTACTACTTGTAATTGTATCTGATGCATGTTTGATATATCACAAATGAAAATACAAAATCGGTAAGAAAAGATTGGAAAACATGAGGTAAGAAGTATGGTAATTTTTTTGTAAAAAAAGAAAAACCCAAAAAGCCCAAAAAACAAAAAAAAACACATATTAGAAAGAAAAGAGGGAAGAATACATAAGAAAACATAAGAAAAGGAAACATAAGAATGATAAGGAAAAGGAAAAGAAAGGGAAACATAAGAATGATAATGAAAAGTAATACATAAGGAAACATAAGAAAGAAAAGGAAAGAAAAGGTAAAATAAGAAAGAACAAGTAAAGAAACACAAGGTAATATGAGAGAGAAAAGAGAAAAGAAAAGATACGGAAACATAACAGTCAAGGAAAAGGAAATGAATAGGAAACAGAAAGAAAGAAAAAGGAGTGATAAAATAAGATAGATAAGGAAATGATAAGAAAAGGGAACATAAGGAGGAAAGAAAGAAAGAAAAGAAATGTAAAATATACAAAAAAAAAACCAACTAAACTGACAAAGGTATAATATCTGATAAAAAAGTGAGAAGGTAATGTAATAAAAAGAAAGGATGGTATTACTTTGATAAAATGGAAAGGTAGGTCAAAATTTTGATTTCTTGTGTTATTTTCAATTATAAAATTTACAAACTTAACAGGGCATAACTTATATTTAACTTTAAAAAAAAATTAAAAATTACACTTTGATTCCTTTTTTCTTGATGTTCACGATTCCTGTTTGTTCTCTGCTGTTGTTTGACACTGTGCCTTGAGCATCAGTTCTGGTGGTGATGTTTGCGCTTTAAAAATTGTTGTTGTTGTTGTTGAAAAATTGTTGTTGTTGTTGTTTAAAAATTGTTGTTGTTGTTGTTCTAGTGTTAATGAGTTATTGATGTTTGAATAAGTTGATAGAAAGTAATGATTGGTGACTATAATTATTAATGAATATATCTTAAGGATATAGGCCTAAAATTTGTTGTTGTTGTTGTTGTTTAAAAATTGTTGTTGTTGTTTAAAAATTGTTGTTGTTGTTTAAAAATTGTTGTTGTTGTTGTTGTTTAAAAATTGTTGTTGTTGTTGTTGTTTAAAAATTGTTGTAGTTGTTGTTGTTGTTTAAAAATTGTTGATGTTGTTTAAAAATTGTTGTTGTTGTTGTTTAAAAATTGTTGTTGTTTAAAAATTGTTGTTGTTGTTGTTTAAAATTGTTGTTGTTGTTGTTTAAAAATTATTGTTGTTGTTGTTGTTTAAAAATTATTGTTGTTGTTGTTGTTTAAAAATTGTTGTTGTTGTTGTTTAAAAATTGTTATTGTTATTGTTTAAAATTGTTGTTGTTTTTGTTTAAAAATTGTTATTGTTATTGTTTAAAAATTGTTGTTGTTTTTGTATATATATATATATATATACCTAAGCATATTAACATGACATGGATGCTTACAAGGTATGACCTGAAAAAAGTATATATGATAAAGATAAGTAATCTAATCTATACATTTTCATAATACTACATAAAATATTATTTTATTTGTATATTGTGGCTTTTTTCTACATTTTTCTACAGTGGAAAATCTTCACACATACATTTAAAAAAAATCAAAATTAATTTAAAGGACATGCAGATTTAAACAAAAATACTAGTATAATACAGTAGAATAAATTAAAATAAATTTTTTAATACATTTCTTAATTAATTTCATTTTTAAAGTCAGATCTCATATCTATCATACACCAGGCACCAAATAACATTAAGAAACACAGTAGTACAATGAACCGTCCCTGAAAAAGACATTACAGGATTCAAGTGCAACATCCTGTCTATTTTTTTATTGCTCTGGTAGCCAAGCATTCTAATTGACTTTCCAAAAACATTTAATGTATTCTAGTGTTAATGAGTTATTGATGTTTGAATAAGTTGATAGAAGGTAATGATTGGTGACTATAATTATTAATGAATATATCTTAAGGATATAGGCCTATGCATAGTGATTTCATATGATTGGTTGAATAAATAAAAAATTTGATTAAATTAATCAATAATAAATAAATAACAAAATAGATACTTTATTTGAACAATGTATTTACGTTTTTTTGATGATTTATATATAATTTAACAGTGTTGATGGCTATCTTGATTTATATATAAATATATACAGTATATATATATATATATATATATATATATATATATATTGTCTATCTGCTCTGCTATATACTGCATTGAGCACTCTTGTCTACATGATCTGGTTCATGCAGATTATATATTTATATCTAAATTTTGAACAATTTACATATATATAAAATAATCGAGTACTATACAGTGATAGGTAAACATTAGTATAGCCTACCCAGTATTATCTGTAACACAGTACTTTTATTAATGCTTTGTTGAACAAGTGATTAATACAACGAATGTACAATTATACAAAGATCAGAATAAATACAACAATTAGAATAACTACCATAATCACCATTCTTATTGTATTTATTTGAATTATTGCTGAAATTCTAATACAAGATGGATAAAGAATTATGACAATGCAATTGGACATATAGTTGTGTATCAAGATTAAATCAGCCAACAGTCTTGGCATAATAGTGCTCTTTCTTTAAGTACAGGCTCTATATATGCATTAGCGCACAGAGAACGTGTCTTTAATTACGGCCGACAAGCGTGGCCACAAGTATCGTGGCAATAAGCCTAATTGCTGATGGAATTACCGCCACTCAGATAGTGTTCCTCCAAGCCAAATATAACAATAATCAGGATATCTCATGATAGTATAGCACGTTTCTTATTACATTTTTGCTTCCTAAGCCCTCCAATAAAGAAAATGCAGAAAATGAATTGACAAAGAACCACAACCTGACATGCTGACTTTTATAGCGGCCACAGCAAAATATTGCAATGTTACACCGATTCTGTTAACTTTTTTTCAATGATATGTATGATCTTTAATGCTTTCATAGATTAGAAATATAAATGTTTGCTTACTTACATGATGATTCACAACAATTAACTGAAATTAACAAAGAAAAATGTAAATAAAAAAAAGAAGCAAGAAAAATGTAAATATATTAGTAGAAAACACGTATGTACATTTATTCACAGCTGGGAAAATCTTTTTTTAAATTTAATCATAATTTTTTATGCAATGTTTTAAGGATATTTGATACCTTCTTGTTGTTTTGACACAACACCTTACAAAATAATTTAAAACGATTAATAATTTAGAGTACAGCAATTTACAATCTATTCATTATATTATATTTTCTATCCATTATTTTGTTTTTAAATAATAAATAGAATATATAATATAATGAATATATTATATTATATTTTCTATTTATTATTTAGTTATTAAAATGTACATATTTTACCTTTGTTTTTATTTTATGAACAAAAAAAAAATCAATAATAATAAACACAATTAGGCGAGACTTATTTTTATACCCGCCACCCACCAATGATGATGATTTTAAAATAAAAATAATATTTTATTTTCAGCCAATTAGCGCACATGCCGCCACAAAAATGGAAATTTCAGACAAAAAATTAGGTTTTTAAAAATTTAAATATGCTCCCTGCCACTGCTATAAAATCTCCATAAATAAGATATGTTGATTTCTTACTAATTATATAAATTTAAAGCATTTAACCCACCCATAATACAGTGTTTATATTCACAAATAAATTTTTATTTTCATTTTCTCCTCCGTCTGGCTTTTTTAGTTAAACCATATGCTAAATACAAAAACAAATTTTTATTTTTTTTCCACCCTCCTGTGATGATCTTTAAAAAATACAGTATGTTCGCAGAACAAGGTATTAAAAAACTTTGAAAGCTATTAGAATCATCCTTCAATCTTACTTTCAACTACACCAATAGTTAAAATTCAATAAAATCTTATATAATAATTCATTCATTTATTCAAAATAACCTCCAACAAGGAGAAGCAAAGAAATACAATCAAAACAAATGCTTATTATTGTAACTAAATTATTATCAATAATATAGATGAGAGTAGTTGTGTACTGCCATAACCAATCTAAAAACTAAACAGCATTATAAGAATAAAAAAAAATAATGAAAATAAATGAAAAAATGGAGATACAGTATTATATATATTTTTGTGTTTTAATTTATAAACTTATTTGTCAAAGAATGTAACCAGTATACTATGATAGTTTTTATAATTCCAATATTTAAGGAGAGTGGTGCATTAGGCAAAGCTATTCATTTTAACCCTGGATACCCTATAACCATGTCCTTCCATCAGGTTTTGGATTAATATTACAATAGAATTCAATTTAACAACAAAACCACATTTAGATTATTAATATTGCATGGTTCTTAATCAATTAATCGTTTTAATATTCTCCATGTTGTTGTTCTTTAAGTATGTTTATTGTAAGAGACATGAATTGATTTAAGCTAAGAGGGATTATTGATACAGAGTCACTGGAATATGTAATAAAATTCCAATTAAATCAAATCCTGTACTTCTTAATTTATTCATATCGATTCATTAAAGTCTCACATTAAGGTATACTATCCAATCAGGTTTGCTTCTTTACAATCACGGTATTCAACCGTAAAACGTCATATGAAAAGTGGAGCTTTAATTAGGTTCACGCCAATACAAAACCCGAAATTACACCAGACACTCCACAAAGGGATTTAATTCCGCCACAAGAAAGGAAGTCCTATTTGAATTGTCTCAAATATCACGAGATAATCATAAGAAGAATCAACACCGCTATCCGAAATCACATATTGCATTGGCCACAAGACCGACTGAGTTCCTATAATGGTTACAATTGTGCTACTTTCATTATTTTTTACTCAGGCTCATTAAGGACCTATGAAAAAAAGACTGATTATTGCTTCAATTCAGATTTCATTGCATCGCTCCTGGGCAAGTTGGTCAACGACTCTCACGAGAGATGACGCAACCAGATTTGTGTCATTCACATCGCGTCAGACTGATGGATGAGAGGGCCAGCTAGACAGCGTACAACACGTCTTCACAAACTTTGGCGTACTTATAAAAAAACCTAAATTATCACCTGGAATTACAAAACAGTATTTGCTTTCTAGTATAATATATCAATTTGTCGTTAAGAAAGTGTTTGAAAACATTTTATAGGATTACCTATGTGTATATATAACACTTCAACATGTAAATGCGCTGAATACGTTATTATTCGTATCAAACTTCTGGGATCATTCTGTTTCTGACCATCTGGAGAGAAGATTGAAAAACAATTATTCCTTGTTATGGTTTCAAAGATGAGGGTACTACTGAGTTTTCTATAGTAACACTGACATTGAGAAATATCATACTACATAGAGCATTGTTTGTAGCAGTGATCGCTTTTTTCGTGCGAGTTTATAGGTCTGCCAAGGAAAAAAATGTACTCTAGTTCCTAAAGGAATCGCAAACCAATTCCATGAAGACAAAATATTGTATAAAATCATCAATCAATCATTCAGATCTACTGGATTAGTGACGATTTCAGATTGCCACAGTTATTTCAAGTTCTGGTTTCTAATTTTCTATTTAAAATTTGATGCAGTGTCGACTTACACAGACTCAATGAATTCTTATCAGACAATTTCTGTACTGAGGATGGAAAAATAAAACCAATTAAAAAAATCGACTGTAAGTGAAGTGTTGCAAGCAGAGTTTTTGAGTATCGGACAACTCATCAAAGGTGAAAATCTCATGAAGCACATAATTCCAGATCAAATGTATTGCTGTGCATGATTTTGTGATCAATGGAACGCACTAGACGAGGGTTTACAAGTGTCAAGAGTTTTTAAATTTGGAAACACTACTCCATCTAGATAACAAGCTGATCATCGGCTGAAATGCAACAGTGAATTCCAATTATTATTAATTGATATTCACACGATTTTTTAATGAACTTCTCTGTTCTGCAAGTCTGTGCCGTGTTAAATCCAATAGCATCTCTCGACTTACTTATTTGTATGCGCAATTCATGACCAGGTTCTGCGTTTGAGTGGATAATCTCAGTTTTTTTTTTTTACATCCTTAGAATGTAATAACTTTTTGCACACTGTGCACATTGCAATCTAGACGCTTCAACAAGGCCCTGAAAGAGGAAATTGAATATTGCACTCAAGACCAGCCTGTTTCTACAACAGTATATTATGAAATTCAGCTTATAAATGCGACATTTTTAATCTAGCAGACAATAGTAACGTAATCTATATTTTCTTGCATATTCCTTCTGTGTCGACATTTTTTATGGATAATCGGAAACAAATTAACTCGACCCTGACGACAGGAACCAATGGTGAGCAAATAATATTCTTTCTTAAAAAGTAGTTATCAAGGATAATTCTACAAAATGTATTAAATTAAATTTATAATGAAGTGGACATTCAGCTGAAAGACCTTAAAATATTTAAGTTATCAAAATAAAAGACTAGGTAAAATTAGTGTTAAAAAAACTTACTGCTACAGTATATTTAAAGTTGCATAATTTAAAGTCAATTAATCAAACTGACTTTATTACCTTCTACATAGTATCTGTGATTCATTACAGAGTCCATAGGAACAATTAATCTTTGTAACAACTCTACTAAACAAATATTTGTAAATTTCTGGCACAGTTCCATATAATAATGGATTGATTAGTAACGAGTCATGATTCTCTGAAGCTAATTAACAGTACAGCATGTACTCTACATATGAGTCGACCCAGAAGCAAAACATTTAGTTTGACTCGCTACCTAATATGAATCTGAGCTTCATTGATTAAGAAGAAAATTGTTTGATACATTTATATGCACTTTGTTATGATTATTATACATGGTTTCTTATTTAGGAATTCACTTGTAATCGCAGCTTAGAGAATTATTATTACCGATTCAGCAATTGATGACATACGCATTTCTGAATTCATCATGATTGCAAATTTGAACTGACAGAGAAATGAACCAGAATAAGATGATTTCCATGATGTTAGTACTCACTGTTTTCTTATTGAATCCTCTAATTGTAACGGTGGGAAGTATGGCCATAAAATTTGCCACCACACCAACAAATGCAACAGTGACTGAAGGGGATGATGCATATTTCACTTGCATTGGAAACTTCGGAGAGAGAAAAGATTTGTCTATTAAATGGCTTCGCAATGACGATATACTTTCTGAACCGTATCCTGATGATAAATACACGATTGAGCGTGGTGGTGGTTCCCCCTATGCAATTCTTCGTGTGAAAAAGGTCACCCGGACAGACAGTTTATATGCATACACTTGTGGTATAATGGAGAAAAGCAGCATAATAAAACGCTCTTCACCGGTCTATTTAAACGTTAGACAGGTTCCAAGTGCAGTTTACCCAGAATGCAACATTGAGACGGTAGCGCTTGTGGAAGGAAAAACAGCCTTTGCGAGATGTCGTGTTGAGCGGATCAACCCAGAACCAGAACTAAAATGGTTCCGGCAGGGACAAGAGGTACAAAGTTTGTTAATTCCAAATGATAACTTCATTATAATAGAACATGAGTTTATTCCAAAAATGACAGATAATGGCAACATTCTCTCATGCACCATGACAACACCAGCAAGAGCAAACTATGTGTCAAATTGTTCAACAGGGGCTCTGAACATTGATTATAAACCCCGTGTAAATGTCACTGGACCAAAGTCAGTTGCAGTCGGAAAAGAAGTTTTATTTGTCTGCTGGAGTCGGGCAAAACCTGCAATTCACAGGATCGAATGGTCCCTTGATCCTCAGCTATCTGCTAATAACTATGTCTTGGAAAGCAAAAATTTAGTCCTACGTATTTTTAAAGCACAATTGAAAGACAATGGAACAAAGGTGAAGTGTACGGTTACAAATACTGTGGGTACGAATTCATCGGAAACACTCCTAATTGTTAAAGAGAGGGCAATAACAGACCCTACTATCACCACACCCACAACTGACAAAAAACTTCCCCCAAAACCGCCCAACATGGACTCTGCAATGATACTATCAATAGCGGGCTGCACGCTACTCCTCTCAACGCTCGTCATAACTATGATCCTTTGCTACCATCACATATGTCGCATTCACCGCCAAACACTAAGCATGACGGGGGAGCAGATTGCGCAGCCGCAGATTTACTTTGAACCAAAGGACATGGTCTCACCGCCTTGCCCACCTGATTACAGCACAAACCATTATATCTGGCGTACCGTTGGCATCCAAGTGCCATCAGATGGCGATATCGAATCAGTGTACACTGAAATTGATGAAGGAAAGAAAAAGATCACTTCTCTAAAATCAATTTCAGTGTGATTATTTTTAACTATTTGTCGGCGTGCAAAGTTCCATCATTCAATTGAATATAAAATGTCAACTGAAATGTATGCAATTTATGTTTTGTACAAATTCTGATGTATAATTATTTGTTTATTTAAATTTTCCGACAACAGTGAACAAAATTAGCCTCTTAAATTCTAAAGTTTGCAAAAACCATAAGACAAATAGCTAAAAATATAGGACTAACAGATTCCAAACTTGAATCCTAAATATAATAAGTATAGAATGATTCACAATTATTATTTTTAAAAAATGTTAACCTCTTTTTTTATTATGTATGTTTATATTTATTGAAATAAAAATTTTCCAGCAAAAAATCTCCTTCTTGGACAATAAAGAAATCTTGAATATGATATAAAATATCATCAGTATAATATTTCATGTTGAATATGGGAATTCATATCCTGAAGAAAACAATATTTTTTCTTTGTATGATCCATAATGTTATTTTTTCCCTAAGTTTGAATTAATGTAAAAGCGCATTGCAACATTTGTGTAATGCACGTTAAAAGCAAATTCATTATTTATAAATTTATGATAATGTGATTTATGATATGTTGTACTTTCAATGTCAGAGATGATTAAGATGATGGTGATGAAGGTGATAATCATCATCAACATCATGTTGAATATGATGTTTAATATATTCTTTCTTTACAATGTGGCAAATTCAGTTATGTACTGTTTTTCCAATGTGGTACAGTTGCATAACAACAATAGAGAAAATAAAAAAACGAAAGTCTGTAAAATATTCAAATTAATTACATGATATCACATGAATTAATACAATATTATTGTAAGTTATACTGTATAAACATTGCACAAAATTAAGAAGCCAAAAAAGGAGTTTTTTTTTTGTTTGTTACAGAACTTGCCTGCACTGTCAGATGTGTGTATCTTGAGTTTACCGTATGAGTTTTCCCACACCCCAAGTGCTTTGAGACTTCGGTAAAAAGCGCTAAAGAAAATTGCATTACATTACATTGCTGGGCACCAGAATATTTTTTTTTAAAATACAGAAGGCTTACAGAATGTAATGATGCACACCGCATGCAATGGTATATTTACTAATAGCTTTCGTTATCTCGTTCGAGAACCAATCTGCCGAGAAAAGTGCATATTTTTGTGTACGACGTCCCAAGTTTTAATCTTCTCGCACTCGCAACCCAAGATTCAGCATCTGGATCATGTGTGATGAATCATCATGTGTGATCAATCAAGAACCAGAAACTGATTGTATCTGCAACATTTTATAGAAATTTGATTAAATTCTAAATTAAATTATTAAAATACTACCTTGGGAAAATCATCATCAATTAATACCGATTGCAAATTCACTCGAATTTTTCGCAGATGTTCACATATGGGGCCTAATCAATGTATTTCATCTTAAGCTAGGCCATAACCATTCCGTACCACTGAATTAGCCATCGTGCCACCACGGCCAAAGCATGTGCCACATGGCCCTACCACCAGGCTGTGCTGCCACCAAGAGTTCAGTTCTCAGGGGAATGCGAAACGGGATAGTGAAAGCTCAATATTTTTTTTAAAAGAGAACGGTAACAGGAATTTTATCAGCGGATTGGTTCTTGAACGAGATAAAAAAAGCTCTCTATTGATGGTTCAGGTTTAGTGCTGTAAGACCATCTCTGTAAAGAGCACTTAATAAATGTACAAATTATTATTATTATCATTTTTATTGTTTGAAATTCTTGTTTTAAATAATGATATTGTAATACAGGTCCCTCTATAGACCCCTTCAATTAAAGATCACCTAGAAATTAAAAGATCACTTTTCTGAGGTCACAAATTAACATCTTTTATCTTTATTATTCTAATTAGAGACCGAAGCTGCTAAAGACCACAGAAACCGCAGTCCCAAAAGTCGTCTTTAATTGTAGGAAGACCTGTATTTAATAATATTTGTTCCTTTTTAGTTAATTTTGCAAAATATTTGTTTCAATAATTTTGCATTTTTTGTGTATTCTGTCATTTTTAAGGGTAAGAACTCAAAACTTAATAAATGATTTTTCTTATCATTGATTATACATATCTTTAATTGTATATGAAGAAAAATATAATATTTTTCTCACTTTAATTTCTAATGGGTTTAATTGTTGATATAACTTTGCATTTTTTGTAAATCCTGTAATTTTAAGCATAAAAACAGTTTTCAACTTATTTTTATTGTTTGTACAAAGATTGTGAATCATCATGCCTTTCTTCTTATCAAATGATAGTTTTTTATTGTTTTGTACAAAGATTGTGAATCATCATGTTTTTCTTTCCAACAACCACAATAAGGTTGCTAAGATATATGTACCAGAAATGAAATCACCATTTAAAAACACAGTCAGGTAGTGTAATTTAAGCAGTAGTATTTAGAACAGAGGTAAAAGAATTTCAGGGTTGTAATTCATCTAAAAAATCTGCAGAATCTTGGAATGCTCTTTATGAGGTGAGATTTCATCCAGGAATGGATATGCCACAATTCACATTACCGATTAATTCATCTCAAATTGATTTTTTTTTTGAGGCAATAAAGAAGAAGGAAAGATGAAAATTATCTCATTAAATCTCAGAATTCCTAAGAGATATATCATGTATTTAAACTTGACAATATACATTTCTTAATGTGTTCAAATGTGATGATAATTCAATTCAAGTGCATTTACTGTTTATGACTTTAAAAAGAAATTCTTTCTACTTGGTTATTTTACTTGGACAGGTTTACCATTACTCCATCCTCCCACATACAGCCTGCAAATGTAATCCCATTATTAGTAAATTGCCTCGATAAGTAGGACTGCTAAGTTGTTTCGCAGTAAAACTTACTTGCAGTTGAAGAATTCAAATTCAATATATATTATGAGTATGAGGCATATGAGGGTAAATATTCTGAAAAAAAAAATTCTTTTGACCAGATTCATTTTTTAAAGTACTGGTCTCCCAAATGGTCCAGTTTTTTTCTTAATCAATTTATCAAGAATATAAACTTATCAAAAATAGAAACAAAATAAAGTAATAACAGATACATCATATGGCTTTGTGTAACTTGCTAGGAAATTGAGCTAGGCCTCTGAATCCGGGGTCCCAATTTGGAAGAAGTCAATTTCTTAACACATCTAATTTTATTTATGCTGCGCATGGCAATGAAGTCACTGACTTCCGTGAGACAACTGATAAGAGACATTAAAGTACTAAAAAAATGCAGATATAATGAATTTGCAGGAGATGGGCTAGTTTACGCGAGACGGGCTATTTTCTGTGGAATTTTGCTTGCGTGCAGAGAACAGGAGTTCACCCAAGACTTGCAATCCCTGCCCATGGCTTCTGCAGCATAACAGCATGCCTTTTTGTGTAGTATACCAGAGTATAATCCCCTGCTCTCTTCTGCAGAGTGGGTGTGGGGGGGGGGTGAGTAGCATTTGCATGGAATAGAACCAGAAAGGATTTTTTATGTGTCTGTATAGTTACCTTGTAAAGTATAAATATCATTTGAGTACAATAAAAAATCAGATGAGATGAAACCTGGATGGCTATTGTTTTTATATTTATTTACACTTAAAGTTTTATCATTTAAATACACTACATAATTATTGTTATGCTATTTTATTTTTACTATTATGATCGCTTCATAAGTTTAAGATATTTATTCTCTTCATAAAAACATTATCAGATACTATTAAAAAATATATATTATTATATATCAACTACAGGTACATAGATTACAGGCATTTGTTTGGTTAAAAGCGGGTAATAGTTCCAACCATGCCCTCCTTGCCGGTCAACCCAGTAAATATTTGTATATTATGTACCTCATACATAGATTCTAGGCATCTGAAGCAGGGAATAAAATGTATCACCCTAAAAGATAGTACTTTTTTTCCCTGTCGCACGATGTGCAATCTCTATGTAATTTATGACATGCACGAACAGTAAAGAGTCCTCTACAACGCTGAGAGTGATTGGCCCTTTAATCGCCCAGGTCTAGGAAGTAAGCCTAGGCCTACTTGTGTGTAGTATATTCATTACTTGTTTAGTCTTGTAGAATCTATGTATGAGGTATTATGAGGTATATAAAAAAAATGCTCTAGATTCGGGAACAGTGAAATCTATTATAGCCCTCAGTGATGTGGAGACCGTAGCCTAAACTTCCCTCAGGCTGAGCTCGAGAAGAAGGCTACGGTGTCCACATCACCCCGGTGCAATAGATTACACCATTCCCTTCACAAGCAGTCAACATTTGTATAATATAACATTACAATTTTCAAAAACAAGTTTAATTTATTACTATTACCATCCTCGAATATAAGCCCACATAATAGTAGAAGCCAACCTTGGGTATAATTCCACCTCTAGTATAAGACCAGGTTATAACGTGAATGATAAGATAAGTTCAAAATTTCCATTTTGATTGGTTATTCCTAAATTTGAAAATTTTGTTCATGTTCAATACAAGAAAAACCATCGTATTATTACATTAAATGAATTGATGTTTAAAAAATATCCAACATGGACATTTTTTTTTTAAAAATAAACAAAACTTAGTTAAAAATATTCATCTGTTTCGTAGATATGATGTAAGATATTTTCTATTTTAACAAACCAATTACTTTACAAAACTTAATATACCTTTTTTTAACAAAAAAAAATGATGGTAGATTATTAACAGCTCAATTGCTCCTAATCAAAAACTATTGTTAAATCTGTCCTTGATGGCATCTGCATAGTTATCACCAACCACTGCGCATTAGCTGGAAATTCAAGCACTGCATATGCTCCGGATTTGTTACAGGCGTAAACAATATTTATTTCTCAATTCTGCAGCAATTTTATTGAATAATGTACATACTGATGTGCAGATATTTTCTTCTGTTGCACTTCTTCAGTGTAAACTCAAACCTCTCCTATTTTATTCATAATTTTATTGAGTCAATTAATGTATTAAAAACATTAGCACATTGCAATTTATACAAATGTTTACAATAATCTGTTTACAATATTTATATTAACAATATTTATAATATATAAAAATGAGAATAAATATGTATAATAATGTAATAATTACATATTTATATTTTCTTCATAAAAACATTATCAGTTACCATTAAAAAATATATATTATTATATATCAACTACAGGTACATAGATTCCAGGCATTTGTTTGGTTAAAAGCGGGTAATAGTTCCAACCATGCCATCTTTGCCGGTCAATATGCATACATTCTATGTAGTGGTATACAAAAAAATTATTTACAGGGATTTAGAGACTGTACTCGGGACAGTCTCCAGATCACCTCAGGCTATAATTAATATAATTTTAACAATTAAAAACATATTTATTTAAAATATATAAATATAAAAATGAGAATAAATTGTAATAATAAGTTACTATCATTATTATTATTAGAAGTGCAAAAATTAAGACTTTGGTATTACGCAATTATTTTATATTATTATCATTATTATTATTTTGATTACATACTGTATACACATAATTATTTTGATGCAATCTAACATTACTTTTTGATGCCATATATTTTATAATGCCATCTGAAGGAATTGTATCACAGTTGGCATGCGAGCATATCTAGTCGTTTCCTTGTGGGGTAATAACGGAGATGAGATATACATTGTTGCACGGTGCGAAAATTACTTACCAATTTATTTGATCGCAGTTCTCTGAAGCAAAACAGGTTTTAAATTACTTTCTGTTCACGGCTCACCAACTTCTAATTTTCTCATAATTTTTGTTCGCTATTTCTGCAAATCTATAAATCTCACTGAGATATTGAACTTAGAGATGAAACGATAAGTAAATAAATAATGTAAAATGTGGTGTTTTTTAACGCTGGCACAAGATAGATGCTGAGTTTATATTCACATGTACAAAAATGATGGTGTTTTTTATATACACAAATCTATATTTCTTTGGGATTTATCTTGTAACTTGAATTTTTTATTTTTTATTTTTATAATCTTCAATGTATTTATCTCTTTTTTTTAATATATTTTTTTGTAGAATTTTGTATCTTATAACATGCAATTTTACAAATTTCTCTTTTTTATTTTGTTTGATGTGACGTTAATTTGTTCAAGGGGGGATGTTGGTTGATGTGTTTGACACCTGTTCATCACTTCCTTTTTGCTGCTTTTTCTGTCTTGGATTTCTGTTACTTTTGCTCTTTGTGTGTGCAGCGATGAAGCTTATAAATGAATGAATGAATGAATAAATGAAAGAATAAATGAATGAATGAATGAATGAATGAATGAATGAATGAATGAATGAATGAATGAATATTTTCATTGTTAAGTTCTGTCCACTATCGACTATCAAATTTTATTTGACAGAAACATGTGACATGCCTAAATATGGTCATGATGATGACATCACAACATGACCATAGTCACATCATGACCATATATAGGCACATCATGACTATATTGAGCATACAACAGTTTTTATTGTTGGACAGCCTAGGGCATTGAAACTGTGCTATATGCTGTCTGTGCAGTATTTAAATTAAGATCTTTAGTATTCCTATCAGGTTTTGTCTCTAGTAGTTTGTTAGATAATTTGAAAAAAATAACAAAACCAAATATATGATATAAAAAGATGACTTTGAAAATGAATATGTAATTATCATCATTCTCTTAACTCTTATTTGATTTGTTTCAACCCTTGCATGAGAGTTAAGGGACAATTTATCCGTTACATGTCTGTACTGGCACCGCACTGTAGCTTCCGTGGGTTTGCAGGGGCCCAGCCAAAATTTCCAATTTAAAAATATTTGGAATTAGAAAAAAAAGTAAAAATTAATCTTTTTTAATAATAATATATAAAGCTTATTTCATTTCATTTCATTTCTTTAGGCACAAGGGCCAAGGATATGCCAATAAGTGAACTTAATCACTGTCCTACGTGGTATATCCATTTAACAACAGGGGACTTAATGGACTAGTACACCGGGGTAACCCCCTTCTCTTCTCGAATGATGTACCAGGTTCTTTAAAGTGCACACGAGCCAAATGCGTATACTGGGCCTACGGTTTAAGGTCCTTATCCGGGAACCATTGGTGAGTGAGCCGTTCGAACCAACGCCGATATTAGAACTGAAGGTCACGGTGCCCCTGACTTAACTGCTCGGCCAATCAACTCGCTATAACACTCAAAGTTAATTCTACAAGCATATGATTTCCAAAATAGTTTTAATATGCTTGTAATATATTTAAAATATAAAAAAAAAGCACATAGACGTATAACAGATAATAAAAAACAGTAATTTCAAAAATAGAGGCGTGCAAAGCAAAAACACACTGAGCAAAAAGAAAATTAACTAGACTTATATATACAAGAAAAAAAGGAACATTTAATTTTTTTTTCATTTCTATTTTGTGGATTTTTTAATATTCCAAAACAAGTACAGAACGTACTAAGTACGTAAAAATACAAGGCTTAAGGAGTGTAGTTATTTTTCGCAAAGAAAATAAATCCTGGATTTTAATAGGATTTAAGCCATGGACCTTGTCATTAAAAAGGCAAAAACATCTCAGCTAAACACCACTTACTTTTGATTACAATTCTGACAAATAACAGTTATTAATTTTTGATATGAAAATTATTTTTAATTGTTTATATCCCTCTTTATTTGCAATGTATATTAAAAATAAGAATGAATAACGTAAAAACAGACTGGTTTGCTGGAAAGTGCAACTTTCCAAGAATAACCAACAGTTCTTTAAAATTTATATGATATACCATATTTTGGCAATGTTAATTATGGCTATACATTATTCATAAAGGTTAGAGATGAGGGTCTATTCTTTTAATAAAACGTTTTTTTTCATCATATTGAACTACAATTCAATCATCTATATTATTGTGTTTTCATGTATAAATTAAGGATACCAAATGATCAGCTCTGGCTAA